TTATTCAGAAACCAGTTTTCTCAGCCACCTTGAAAAAAAGAATACGAATTCTCGGAACAACTTTTTATTGTGATACCAGTTTTCCATCCTCCTGCTATTTTTAATGATGAGTAGGTGGATTTATGTAGGATAAGAGAGTAAACTGAGACCCGACTTGCTCTCCCCAAAGTATAACCTAAGTCTACAGAGCAGCGCTGGGTCGGACAGAAATTGGGCCAGAATGCATCTAAGAACTGAACTTAATTGATATAAACAAACAAGCTTTATTTACAGTATTCCTTCGTAAAACCCCAGGCTTAGAGTCTGCATGTTCTTTAAAGGCTCCATTTATGTACACTTGAATGCCTATTTAAGCAAAAAACAAGAGAGCTTTCCCATGGAAACCGCACAGAGATGTTTTACTTCACACGTACACCACAAACAAGGCTGCTAACTTTCCATAATTTACTGTATTTTCTTAGGCTTGCTATTGTATTTTAGGATCAAATCTTTCGTAGAAGCTGCTTACGCAGGCCACAGACATATAAATAAATGACCTAAGAGAGGCAAAGCCTGAGATGTGAACTGAGAGGAAGCAGTATCTCAGCAGCCGCTTTAATATTTTAATATTTTTCTTTTCCCTCTTTCTAGCTGGAGGAACAGGTTAAAATTTTGCGTCTAGTTGAGAAACAAGCAATCCGGAGGCATTTGGAATCACCTTATTTAATCAGGACTTGATTCATCCCTTACAATTAAATCAAGCCAGAGGGCAATCCCTGGGCTAAGACAATAGCAACGTTCAACGACCAGATGCTATCTCTCAGCGAGAAATCAACTCAGCGGGCCTCAAAGGAGCCAGGTGGTTTGAAAAACTGCTTAAGAGGGCACAGAGAAAAAGAAACTCTTTCGTGGACTTTATCAGACAGGCATAAATTGGTCCAATTACTTCAGCAAGAACACGAGCAGTTTTTTCTCTGTGAGTGAAAAAGATTCTGCTAAACTGATACTCCGATTTGAGAATTTGCCTTTTAGATTTAGCTGATATGTGTCTAAGTGTGAATGCATACAATCTACTTCTATATGTATGTATTTTAGGGGAGTAATTTTGCTTCTACTTATAATTACTACTGATTGTCTCAAGGCTACAGCAAAGGGTTAAGTCCTAACTTCAAAAGAGATGCCAACCTCTGCTCTGGGGCCACAAAGATAAGCAAAGATACCAAGACTTTCCAGTTTAGCCCTTGAGTTAAAGGAATTGGATGGGCTCACCTGTCAGGAAAAAAAAAACCTCAGCAAAACCAACCCTGGGAGAAGGCTGGGCACAGAATCAAAGTCCCTTTGGCATGAACTTATGACAGTTCTGCCCATGAATAAGCAGGTTGTGTTGAGTTGCTGAAAACAGAGGCACGGCTTGCCAAAATTGAGTATGAGGAAATCTCTGAGTGATGGTATTTCAAACTTGGTGGTGCTTCTACATCCTATAAAACAAGGCGGTATACATGCTTCGTTCAATACATGACTGGACAGCTAATGAGCTCAGTCAGTGCAAGAGCAAGCACAAGCCGTCCTTGATGGTGTCTTAAGCTACAGCGAGAAAGACAGTGTAAGCTGATCCCTAAGTGTCTGAGAACAAGGGTGGAGAATTTGGTCAGGCACCAGAACATCAAGTGGGAGATCCTGTGGCCCTAGAACAGTAGGGCCAGAAAGATAAACAGAGCTGTTTTGTCTCAAAGGATGCCAAGCACTTGGGAGACCATTTGGCTAAGAGGGAAAAAGACTACATATAAGCAAAACCTAACAGACAGTATTTAGAAACACAAACAAGTTGTCTCTGATTTATCCAGGGCTAAAGTTACTTCAGCTGAATAGAATTACATTGCTTCTAGAGGCTGCATCATGTATCTATCTTTTCTTTTTTTCATTTTGTGCTTGAACTAATATATTTAATTATAACGCCTTCCTATATAGCTACATATATTCCCATATACTTGGTCCATAACATGGCTACAGTAAAAATAAAAGTAGAATGAAAAATCATCTGGTTGTTTTGAAACACACTAACCTATTCTAAGAAGCCCTAGCAAATATTTTAAACACTGTTTACATAAGGTGCTCAACTGTGTTAAAAATCTTTCTTAAAATATGCTAACACGTATCATAGCATCATACTTTTCTTGATACAGATTTATTTATGGTACCTACTCAGGAATCACTAGTTCCTGCAAGCATAGCGCTTTTAACTAGAGCAGCTTCTCTGCCTCTCTGCAGCTCAACGATAGTTATTTCAGACATTGCAGGATACTTTCTTCCCCCGCTTCTCATCATCTTTCTCTTATTACGTATCCAGTGTAAAACTTCAACGCAAAGGCTCAAACATAAGAGTGAATAACCTCAAAAAACATCCATGTGATAGTAAGTGTACACATTGAGTGCTTTTTAAAAGAACCGTTATAATACTTCTAAATTTCAAGTGCAGGGCAGAGAAGTCCATTTGTATACACCCACTCTAAAATGAATGCACTTAGCAGACAGCACATAGGTACTTGTAAGCTTCCAGCTGCAAAAGAAATGCATTTTGTAGCATGGTCATAAAAAAAGCCACAGTAATGCTTCCAGGTATTGTTTCTTTTTTTTTTTTCCTTTTCTTTTAAACAAAATACTCATAATATTCTGCTAGAGAAAAGAAACAAGTCCACACACACAAAAAAAATCATATTTGATCAAGAAATGGCTCTCCTAGACAGTACTGTAGTAAACCCAAATACTAGAAAAAAATTTCTATTACAATGCATCAACAGCCAAAATTAAATGTTACTTGATGCTCTCCATAAAATTTACATTAATATGAAATCTGCAAATACTTCAGTCAATTGTTGTTTGCTTCCATCCTTTCCAAATTACAATCAAGTCTCTGACCATGCCATTCATTTGATTTACTCAGCTTGAACTATTTTCATTCGACTCTTATTTACGCATCTTTTCTAATTTAATTTAATCTTCTGATTGTCATTCAAAACATTCATTCCAATATGCCTTATTATTTATGCAGTTTGATGCCTTTACGTGCTGAAGAACTGATAATCAGCCTGCTTAAATCTGTTGCTGTTCTAACATTTTTACACTTTGCAATCTCGAAATACTGCAGCAAGGCCGTTGCCTATATTGCTCCGTTCAGGTAAAATCTGGTTTGCTTCATGAGAAGACAGGGATAATATCCAGTATACACAAGGGGCACCTCTGCCCCTGGCAGCTTGTCCTTGCAACAGAACCACTCTGGGGAGGCCGTCCTGTGATTTTTAACTAAAGGGGATACTGGGCCTGAAGTGGTGTCTCCCCAGCCTGAACGGAAGGCTTGCAGAAAAACTGCAGATGAAAGATTCTCTGCTTCCAGCCACCAGAAAAAGCAGGTTAAAAAAAAAAAAAAAAAGAGACATTCAGACTTTCAGATCACTTTCTCAAGTTCTGATAGGAATGCCTCCCATGCCGGATTGGTGGTTTGCTCTACCTCCTCCTGTTCTTCCATGTCTTTTTATTACGCCTATTCCATATCTTTCAGGTTTTTCTTCCTTGCTCTCTCCATGTCACACGCTTCCCTTCAGGGCTCCCCCCACACCCCCACAAAACCACGGAGTTACCTTGACTGACTGCTATCATGCAGATTACTCCTGCTGGGGGCTGTCTCGTCTACTTGGATTGGAAGCTCTTTGGAGCACAGATTGTCACCGTTGTGTGCCTGTACGACGCCTAGCAGTAAGAGTCTTCTTTTGATCAGTCTTCTGGCACTAATGTAATAAGCATGATTAATAAAGTACCTGCCTATACTCCTATCTAGGAATCCTAGGGCTATATGAGAACAAAACCAGGTTCAGCTTTTATAACGCTGGAAATGCACAGTTAAATTCATGAAATTTCTACCAACAAACAGATGACCGCGTAACAAATGGAATATTTAGTAGGAAACAGCAATCTGACTTACTTTGCTCTCTTGGCCATTTCATTGCCATCCCAGCGGGGGCTGTAAGGGTAATTCTTCTGGGCCTGCGAGTACAGCTGGCCACTGTTAGTGAAGTGGTAGACAGACTGAAATGTTAGGGTTGGTTGGTCTCGAGGAAAGTAGAGGGGTAGATCAACTGAAATAAAAAGAAAAAAAAGGTCATAAAAATACACCGTTGCTTTTTTTTTTTTTTAAACTGGGAATATATCATTCCTTTCTATTGATTTAAAGGTGACACTAAAGGAGAAATTGATGATTACCTCTAAAATATACTTCTGTATTTCTTGTAAGTAATGATTCCAACATATGGCTATATGTGACTGTTTGCTTTATCAAAGCATTTTTGTGAAGTGCATAACTAAAAAAATGTTTAGCTAGAGTATTTCTGTTAATAGTAATGCTGATATCATGATTATTTTGTTGAAGGAAAATACTGTATTATTTTTTCTATATAGTGAAAATTTCCCTTCCAAAAATTCACAAAACACATTCTGTTCATACTTTCCAATCAAGAAACAAATTTCTCTTTATTTGCTTTAGGCAATTCATTTTACTGCCCCCATGGACATCAAAAGCATTATCGTTCTCTTTTTACAGCTGTCAGAGACTTCAAGTGGTTAAATGATTTGATAAAGGATGTAGAAAGATCCAGTCACATGAGTTGGAAAAGATCTCAACTTGCTGTCATCTGTTAGAAAAAAAAAAAATCCCCACAAAACCAAAAACACACTGCGAAGTCATTAGTACCCAAAATATCTCACTAAAAATAAAAATCAGAACCTCTTAGTTCCCTTTGCTTTTCCCTGTCTCATAATCAGTTAGGTTTGGCAGAACAATAAAATAGTCTATGACAGTTAATAATATGGTCAGAAACTTGGTTTTAACTTAACTTTTTCATTGCTAGATTTGTAATTACATTTTCTTAGTCTACTTTTAATTTCAGAAGGCTTCAGAAATCTGTAGTTGAACAGTAGTTATGACAACAGACTTGAATTATTTACATTAAATGTCTAATCTAACACCAAAATTAAAAGAAGAACGTGCATTTCTTCTAAAGGTGTAGACTTCATTTATAAAGCATCTATGATTGCACTTTTTGTTATCCTCCAAAACACAATTTTTTTATTCTGCACGATGAAAGAACATTGCAATGGAACAGTAACTCCCTGTAAATCTTAAATTACTTTTCCTATTGGTGTAGCAATGAGTGGAATGAATTAATAAGATTATAATTAATTCATATACGCCTGGGTTCTCAATAGTCTCTATTTGTCACTTCGCAGTCCTTTTCAAGGAGAAGGAAAGACTCCTAAGTTAATAAATAGGTTGGAACAGCTGAAGTAGGAACCAAAGCAGGTGGCAAAATCAGTACAAGCAGAATTTGAAGAAAGCAAAAGGAACATTGCAGGGCTGAACCCATCCTCAGGCAGAACAGGATCTCCCCTCCAGCATGCTTGGTAAGGCACTGGATTTTTTACTTTTAAATACTGCATGGAGCAGAGATTCCAGCACTTCCTTTGAAATCTCTGCTCACAGACTGAGATATCAGTGTAAGACAGATGTTGTTTTTCTATTCATCCTGCTAGTCCCTTCGTTTTTCAGTTTTTCTAATCACATCTGAATGCTCGGATGAGCACCAGCCAAACCATTGCTCCTTTTTCCCTAAATTACCCTCCAAACTCTACAGGTAAAACCATTTGTAGCCATGAAGTACAGAAAACTGAATGCGATATTCCAGCTGTAGTCTCAAAATACAGCTAACCACCGTGGACGACAGCGTTTGCTCAGTTCATGACCCAGTGCCTGAGCTACACGTGGTAACTCCCGGAGTCCTGGTGACTCAGCTCACACAGCAGCTCCCAGCAGATATTTGAGCGGTAATGACATGGGCAGAGTTCTGCTAATTTGAGGGCAGATCACTGCTGTAACAAAGGTTAGACTCAAAGATTGCTCCGTCAAATTCCTCTTTATAACATGATTATTAAATAACAACCCTGAGAAACACCGGCGTATCGAGGCCAGTTGTCAGCAAGCAAGCCGTCTCCTCCCCTTGCAGATGGTACCTGCGTGCCGCAGCCTCTGAAGGACTTCACCGTGGAAAAAGAGTGTGAAGCAAGGAGACAGGCTCTCCGTTTTAACGTTATAAATAGACTTCTTCAGCTCTGAGTGCTTAAACTCAGTTCCTCTAGCGCATCTTTTTCCTCCTTAAGTACCAACTCCTTAAAGGAAAACTACTCTGTATACTAGTGTATTTTATCACTGTGTGAAAGGAATAACACACTTTAGCAAAACACTCGAGTAACAGTTCAGTCCTTATATTTAACTTTTTACTTGAGAACTTCTGACTTTCATTAACTTTCCTTTGAAAACCTCTGTCTACAGAACAGGGGCAAGCAGCAGCAGTTTTCTGCCTGTTACCTAAAATTAAAGCTTCGCACTTAAGAGAAAGTATCTAGGACTAGAAATGCTGTTTAAATGGATAATCAAGACATTGCTATCACTACAGAGATGCTTCCGTTTGTTAAGAGAAGCCTTTCTTTTATAATAATATTTTTCCAACACCGGTATCACCAAAACATAACAAAACATTTTCTTCTTTTATTAACCAAAACCTATATAGGATTTTTCAGGAATTACATTATAAACTGTTAAATCAGATAATCAAATTAGATTTAAAATTATGCATCCCACATCCGGCCAACAGCAGTATCATCCTGAACTGCAAGTAGAGTTTTGAAAAATTTTGACCTGCCTTTGATTTCTAACACTACTCTTCACCTAAAATCGCCAGCCTCCCACTTTTCTAACCCAAATGCTTCCTTAATACAAGGTGTGAGATGAGCCCAGACCAAGTAAAAAAACCTGTCCCTAATTCTGGAACACGACCACACCTAAAAGACCAGTAAACAGGAAACAGCCTTGAGTTGTAAAGTGTTATACATATCTCAAGGTAGCCAGCTATTATTTCAGCAGTAGGAAGGGAAGGCAAAAACTCACTTCCGTCGCAGTGGATGCCCATCCATTGACATCCAGAACGCTTGGATTTGGGGCGAAGAGTTTTATCGTACGTGAAAAATAAGCAAATACCATTAGTAATCAATACTAGCAAGGTGCTTTGAAGATAAAAGGTCAAATTCTGCTGATGGTTGCAATTACATTGTTACGGGGCGGCACAGGTTGATAAAGAAAATTTTTCTTTTTACCTGGTTGTATATGCGGTCTGACTCTTAATCTGTGCATTAATACAAAATCAGATCTGCCTTCATGTGATACATAAGGTGGCAAAGGTAAGTGTTATCATAATTACATCCCAGACAACATTTATGCTTCATCATGAAAAATACATCACGGTTAAAAACAACGCACCGATTCTGTAAATCAACACCTGAACTAGGCAAACTATAAAAGCCCGCTTTGGTTTGGCATGCTAGTTACCTAAGAACTACAAAAACATATTCATGCTGAATACAAGCACTACTTCCAAATAACAGCTGACTCACAAAGTACCCTGGTGATATGTCTGCAGAAAATAAGCAGATGACTCATGTCTGTAAATTCCTGAAAGTACCAATAGACCCCTTGCTTAGTCATCTTTTGCTTGGATGCTGGGTTCACGAGCTCGGTAAACTATAATGAGGGATCTAGCTCTTAGTAGGACTCTCTCTCCCTTTTTTCCTCTCTTTTAAACTGCAAATTATCTCCCTAAAAATAACTTCATCTATGTGAGTGAGTCACTTTTAAACTAGCAAGCTTATACAAGTCATGCACTTAAGAAGTAATATTTGGTTACGAAGGTAAAAATCTTGCTGTCAAACTCAGATTTAAAACGAAAATTATGTCAGAGGAAGTCCCATTTACCCTCCTCTCACAGAAATAGAAACATTTCCTTTGGAAAATTTAAACAATTAGCTCATTCAGGAAAGTAAAGCTTTCTAATTCAGTTCCATACTCAAAGTAATTTAATCCTGATGATTTCTTACTTTGGCTTTCCTAAGCATCACACTGTTAACATAAGAGGAGCTCAAAGCAGCAGACTGGAGAAAGAAGCCAATACCATAGTAAAACAGTGCTTTGTCCTATGTTACAATTTACAGATCATTTTTAAAAAGTCAGGTTTTAGGAAACCATAGTGCGGGGAAAATCATGTCTTTATGAAAGCTCTACAGGAGCAGAACTTGGAGGGCTGTTTTGGGTAATTAAGCATTGAGTAAATTCTTTGGTGATTGAACCCTAATTTTCCCACACAGTTCATAAGAAAGCGAAAGAAAAAGGACTTGCTTGTTGCGAATGAGTCATGTTGTAAAGAAACTTAATTACGGTTTATAAATAGTTGAAGTTGCTCTCTTTTTGAAACATAAGAAACTATCGAGAAGTAACACACAAATTTGCTTCTCTTGACTTAGTTCACATTTAATGCATACGTACATTCAAAACACAGTTATCTTAAAGCCAAAATCCTGATTCACTAATAACTAAACAACTGTGCAATGAATCAGTAAGGCTTAATTGTTCATTTTCTTAAAGAACTACCATACTGAGATCTGGAACAGGTTACCTAGTTTGTTAAGCTTATGTTGACAACTACAGAGTTCCTTTTGACAGTCTTATTAACTCTAAACCAGTATCTTTACCGCTTCATTTTATAGCTTTTTAAACAGGGTATGAAATGTGCAAGGGGTGTCTTGGCAAAAACACATACCAGTGCTGCTATAGGGTTTCTGAAGGAAAAATACTCAGAAGAAAAAGGGCAGGTTCACCCCGCCTTTAAGTACTGGAGAGAAGAGAAGTAAAAACATGCTTGAAATGTATATTACCATACAAATATTTCAAAGTACTTAGATGGCAATATTTAGAAAATTTTCCATATACTGTTCCCCTGCTCTAGAGAAAAGGTATATTCATCTTTTGTGAGGCACTGGATAAACCTAGGTATTTATTTTCAGAGAAGTCAACATTTACTCACTGAATATTACACACCATTTCAATGCTTGGACGATACTATACTGGTTATCTTACTAACCTTCCGGATGCTTGAATCTGCTGCAGTTTATTGCACCTGTAATTTGTTTTACACTCATAAACATTGGCTGGTCTGGATATTTTACTGCTGAGATTTCTACTTCTCCAAGATTTCAT